CCGTGCGGTTGGAAAGCGGGAAATCGGGGGTCCCGCGCGAGGCGGCCACGAGCGCTGCCTGTACGCCCCTCCACCTCGCCGCACGACTCCGGGAAACACTGCCAGGCCCCCCAGGGCTCTGAAGTTACACCCCATCTCCAGTGTGAACCCAACTTGACCCTTCCCAAGGGAGACTGCGAAATGTCAAAGGCCCCTCCTTTCCTGCACGGCCCTTTCTTGCTTCCTCATCTGGTCCTGCTTCACTGACACCCACTCGCCTTCACGTTTTATGTTTTTGGGGGAAGGGCGAACCAGAAAGGAGGCACCCAGGAAGTGCAATGGCGAGGCCCTGGCAGGTGGCAACGGTCGGGAGGACTCCCAGCGAGCGCCCCTGCGTGCAACAGAGGGATCGAACCTTGCAGGGCGGGCAGGCCTGAGCTCCCCTCAGGCCAACAGGGCTGGGCCCCGGGAGGACCGCGGGCAGCAGCAGGGACCTGCCAGCCTGACCCCTGGCACAGGAGGCCCAGGCCGGGCTCCCTGAAGCGCTGCCCAGGGGGACGGGGAGAGAGGAAGCTGAGGTCTTCTGGCCGCTTGAGGGTCAAGGAAGTGAAATCGGAAATTCCCTCTGGGGAAATGGGGGCCAACCATGACATCTTGTGGGAACTTCGGGGAATTTGAACCCAACTTCGGGGAATTTGAACCCAACTACTTCCCTTCCTCTCAGGATCGCCGTGGTGACTACCTTTTACTCAGATCTGACTGGCCGTGGCTGCGCCCGCAGCCACCCGCTTACCACTTCCTGGCTGACCCATTAGGCTTGTTGTCCTTCCATCATGCCTGGCCACACCTAGTTCCTCTTGGCTGCCTGGGCTGATGAGAATTTTCAGGGGGTGATGTCAGAACCTTGGGGGCTGTGATTGTTATGTAACCAGTATGTGGGCACCCCCCCCCTCCCAACACACACGCTCACACACACAGCGTGGGTGGTGGTGAAGGGAATCTCTTGGGCAGATCCAAATTGAACCTTCCTGGAGGCGTGGAAGCCTGGCCGACTGGGTACCTCGAGCCAGGAAGAAAGCAGGGTGGGTGGGAGGCTACTGGGGCTGGGGTGGGCATAGGGGTGGGGCAGCAAAACAAAAGACTAGCTTAGGGGAGAGGAGAGGCTTGGTCACCTGTCCCTTCTGCCTGTAGTAGGATCAGGTAGGTGCTGCTGAGGGAAAGAGGGATGATGCTCCATGGGGATGTTTCCTTCTCCACACTCAGCCTGCCTCTCAGCCTGCTTCTTCCCTCCTCTTAGTTGTTTGAGGGCAAACCCCCATTTCCCGCAGCCTGCCCCTGGGGGGTGGATGATTGATACCCACGAGAAAGGAATGGACAGTTGAGGGGGCCGTGCACTCAGGGGAGGCTGGGAGGACAGGCCCTCCCTCAACGTTCTCCTCAGATCAGGTGACAGCGGACCAGTAAAATCACTCCAAAGGTCCCCTGGAGTTAAGGAGTAAATGGGAGTGGTTAGGGGAGAAGGGGGGACCTCACTGAGAAAGGAGGGCGGGGTGGGCTGCAGTGTGAAAGGCTGGTGGCTAAAGAGGCAAAGGCAGTGGATGCTCCTCTGTGCAGGAGGGGCCCCAAAAGGGAGCAGGATCTGGTTGGTGGGCAGAAGGAAGGCAGGCTGGATTTGTGCTGGGAGAAGGGACCAGAGGCCCTCAGTGTGGGCCTGGAGGGTGGGGGACATGGCATTGGGGAATGGGGCAGGACATGTTCCCCATGTGGTCCTCTGCACTTGACTCCATGCCGCTAACGGGCTCTCCCTTCCCCCCAGCAGAGGGAATAGGAAAGAGAGGTCTGGTGACCCCTTGCTCCAAACTAGCCTTTTGTCTCTGTCGCCATCCTGCCGGGGTGCCTGGAAGGGCCTTCTGCAGATAACCTGGCTGGTGCCTCCCGGCTCCTGGGACCGGCTGCTCCTTCTATTGTTCTTCAGAAAAGGGTGCATTTTGTGCCAGCAAATGTGTGTCCAGTGCAGCTGACTCTCCCTGAGGCCCAGCAGCCTCCTGGGTGGGGGCCTTCTTGCCCAGGCCCTGCTATCCTGCCTGTCCAGGGCCCATTCGGCCCTGTCCTACAAGCACAGGCTCTGGGGAGTCCCCGCCTCATCGCTTTCTCCCAGAATCACCCTCCCAATGTCGCCTCTCCTTGCTCTGCAAAGAGCAAGCCTTTTTGTTCTGCGGAGGGGACACGGCGGCACGTTCCTGCTGTTCTCGTCTTTTGCGCTCACTGGCGGGGAGGCTCTAAGTCATCTTGGAAACACTGGCATCAAGTTGATTCTGACTTACAGGACAAGGCAGAACTGCCCCTTTGGGGTTTCCGAGGCTGGACATCTTTTTAGGGAGCAGACTGCCTCATCTTTCTCCCCTAGAGCGGCTGGCGGTTTCAAACTGCTGACCTTGTGGCCAGCCACTCAGCGCGTACGTAGCCCAGTACTCTGCCAGGGCTCCTTAGACATCCTGGATGTTTCCTCAACTATGTCGAAGATATCTGAGGATCAATTCCTGAGGTCGAGCATTTGTCATTTCGGTCGATGGCAATGAGCTTCCCACCGGGCAGTGGGACCCGTCGTAGTCTGGGCGTTTCTTCCACACTCAGCCTCCTCTGCTCTCACCCCAAGGCCCTCGACACATGAAGAACATTCCAGAATAAACAAAATGCGGGATCTCGCTCTCACCTTTAGCTCCCGCGTGCTGCTGTAACAAACGTCACGAGGGGGTGACTAACAGACAAATGTATTTCCTCTTTGTTGAGGAGGGTGCCACCATGTCTCCTCTCAGCTTGTGCTTCTCGGTTCCTCTGTCGACCTTCAGGGGATGGCGCTCCGTCTCTGTCCTCTCTGTACCGCCTCTCTGCACTCCGACTGGCCGAAAACTCCCCGCACGAATATGAACCTCTCACCACCGTCCAGTGGACGCCGACTCACAGGGACCCCTGTAGGACAAGGTAGAACTGCCCCTCGGGGTTTCTGAAAGCCTCATCTTTTTCCCGTGGAGCGGCTGGTGGTTTCGAACTGCTGACCTTGTGGTTAGCAGCCCAATACATAACTACTACACTAGTATGTTCCTCTACATTAATATGCCCCCATTAATATAATCATAAAGGGAACCCGGTTCCCAAGCGGGATTATGTCCACAGGCATAAAAACAACCAAACACACTGCCATTGCGTCCACTCTGACTCATAGTGGCCCCGCTGGACAGAGTAGAACTGCCCCCATGAGTTTCCAAGACTCACTCTTGATGGGGTAAGAAAGCTCATCTTTCTCCTGCACGGCTCCTGGGGGCCTCACAGGTACATGGCTTAGGGCTGCTATCTTCCACACATTTGGGGTGAGACAAGGTGAGGCACAATTCAACCCATCACAACATCCTGGGTGGACTCTTCCATAGCCAGAGAGAGACGATGTCCCGATGCCTGCGGGGCACGGATGGGCCATGAAGACATTCTGTTGAGCTCAATAAGTTGGCCGCAAGAGGACAAGTCCTGTACGGCCTCACACACATGCGAGAAGCAGAGAACTGGAAGTCAGAGATGATTCTGGGGTCACTAGGACAGGGAGGGAAGGGGCAAGGGATGGTGGTGGTGTTTGGAGGCCGTTGGTTTATGTGAATGGCGATGGAACATTTGGGATAAGGAGAGAGACGGAGGAGGTACCACCTGAAAAACGTCACCAGTGTCATTGATACATAGCCGTGCTGTGACGGGTCTTTTGATGTCCCGTGTTTTCGTCATGCTGATGGGATACATGTGGCAGCTGCTAGGTGCTATGTGAATGAAGCCGGGTTCTCTAGAGAAGCCAAGCCAGTGACGCTTGCCTGAGGGTGTCCCTCGCAAGAGACTGATATTGAGAAATGGCCCACCCAGTTAGAAGTGGGTTCAGGCCAGTCCAGTTCAAGTCCTTGGGTCAGAACGTAAGCCGCGGCTTCTCCCGGCTCCTGCAGCTGCAGGGGCTGATGAATGGGAAGCAGGAAGATGAAGCCGGAAGAGCTGTGGTGGAGGCTGAGCTGAATGAATCCAAGGCTGGGAGGCCCGAAGATGGCTCTTAGGGCCGGCAGGCGCTGTTGCAGGAGGTCAACCAGCTGGCCGCAGCATCCGAATCCGGCAGTAGAAGTGAGCTCACGTCCACACACGGTCAGCTGATACTAAGAGCAGGCCAGACACTCGGCGAAAGCTCCCTCGAATCGTGTCCATGCTGCGACAGATTAAGGAGGTGGCCCCGAATCGGGACCCCCTCTACGTTGGGAAGAGGAAGGCCGGAGAAGAACGGATGCGTGGGAATGATGGTGGCCCTGCAGAGGAGAGAGTACGGACAGCACCCCGGACGGCCAAAAGGACAAACATCTGTCTTGGAGGAAGTACAGCCCGGAGGCTCCGCAGAGGCAACGGTGGAGAGGCTTGGTCTCACGTCCTTGGGACATGTCAGGAGAGGCCAGTTCCTGGGGAAGGACAGCGTGTTGGGTAAAGCGGAGCGGTGTCGAAATAGAGGAAGGCCCTCCACCGATGGATTGACACAGCAGCGGCAACAGCGCCTCCAGCCGCGATTGGGAGACTGAGCGAGCGGTGTTTCCCTGCTGGGCGTAGGGTCGCGGTGGGCACCTGATGACAACTCTACCCTAGTCTCCCCACAACTGCTTGACTGTCTTCTAGAAGATTCCCTCCTGGAGGTGACCGCACCATGCATCGCACGAGGGGCCCACCCAAGGGGACGTAAAGCTCACTAACTCTCCTAGGTGGCCTTGAGCCAGGCTCCCCCTGCACAGGGACTCTGTGTACAGCAGACCAGGGTGACGCACGGTGACTCCATCGTGACTTCCAACTCATGGGGACGCCGTGTGCAACAGGACACCACACTGCCCGGTGTCCGCCGCCCCGCAAGGGTGGTTTGAGCCCATCTGTGCAGCCACGGCATCCGGCCCTCCTCTCCAGGGTCTTTTTCTGTGCTAAGCAGGAAGCCCTCCTCCGGGGGCTCTCACCAGGAGTCGGTCAGAACGGACTGGAGGGGAGGGGGTGAACACAGTGGGTTCTCCGGGGCCTTGGCCCCGGCTGGTCCTTTTGTCTGCTGTGGTCTCCCTCGGAGACTGTCCCAGGCGCCCTGCCTTGTTCCATTCAGATCTGTCCTTTGGGCCCTTGTCAATGGAAGAGGGGAACCGTCCAGCTCACAGAGGCCGGAGTAGAGTTGCACACGGGACAAATACTGTATGTAATGCGCAGTGCACGGCCTCTCCTCCCCCGCCCTCCCCCCGGGGGAGCCTGAGTCATTCCCATCCTGTCCTGCGATCTCAGCCCCCACCCCCACTGCCTTTCTGCTTGTATTTGCTATTCCCTTGGCATATTCTTTCCATCAGACGATTTTGTAAAGCCCAGACTCGTGTGTGTGTGTGTGTGTGTGTGTGTGTGTGTGTGTGTGTGTGCACGCTCTCTCCTCAAAAGAGGACATTCAGGCTCCTGGACACAACTGTCACCTGGGCCACAGCCAGCCGGTGACCAGGGGCCTCGGGTGGGTGGGCCCAGGCTAAACTTCCTGGGCTAGCCCTAGAAGTCAAAGGGTTTGTCTCCCTCCAGCATAACGTGGTGCGCTCTGAGGGGTCCGCCCCGGAGATGCAC